TACGGTGGAGGCACTCAGCTTCTTTCTCATGTTTCCTCTATTTCTTGGGCTCAAAGCAACCCTTGTTTTGCAACCATCATCACCTAATTTCTTCAAGGTCATGTCCATGGCTTTCTTCCTCAGCCCAAATATGTTGGGGCTCCTGGCCTGGAATTTCATGTTTGCTTTAAATCAGTGGTGAAATTCAGCCAGTTCTATCCGGTTTGGGTGAATTGGTAGTGGTGGCGGCGGGAGGCTCCGCCCACCCACCCAGATGTCATTATGTCACATTTTTGATACTATGTGCATGTGCAGAAGGTCCTGCGCATGCGTGAAGGTGGGCACGGTCATATTTGTGAACCGGTAGCAAAGGTAAATGGATACCACCCCTGCTTTAAATTCAGGGAATTGTAGTCCCAATACCTCTGGGTGTCACTAAAGTTAGGAGTGTCCTATTATAAGCATATCACTGTATAAATAATTTGGTGATCACTGTATTCTCCTCAGTCCTCTGAGTTCATTTCCTAGTTTTTATAATTAATCTTCCACTTGGTATTAGTTTCCTATGACAAGTTTGTCAGAGTTAAAACACGCAAGTCCCAAAAATTGCTATAGAAATTTACTGTAAAAATGATGATGAGACTCTTGCTTGCTGATGCTATTCTGTGAATGGTATATTTTCTATTTGAAACTGGTTCCACCGCCCTGATTTCAACAGGTTAAACCTTCTGCAAAGAAGTTCCTTACAAATCAAAATTCATGCATTATCAATCCTCAAATGTCTTCTTTTCCAGCTTTAGTTGGTGAGATTTCTGGTGAAAGAGCATGGAATGAATGCTAAGATACCCAGAAACATGTAGAAAACTGGGACTATATAAATATTTCTCTACAACTATCTAAAAAAATTGTTTTCCACTTGAATGTTCTTCTAATATTGCTGTGTGATCAGGATTTTGGTAATATACACAATTCACATTGCTGGATTTGTCCATCTTAAATTAATTTGTTCTACTGTGCCCTAGAGGGACAATAGGGTAAGATTTCTTGTAAAATAGAACAGTTTTAAGCAGTCCAGATCTTGAAAAATTTTCCAAGGTTGTTTGAACTCGTGGAAAAAGTGACTGAGAACTTACACACAGCACTTTTAGCTTACTGTCACAGGGATCAGATGAAGCTTTGGAACATGGTTTATCGCACACACATTGGCCACTGAAAATTTGTGTGGTTTATGTCAGAGCACATTACACATGATCTGGTTCTGAGAGACGTATCCATCAAGTTGTTGTCATGGACAGATTAACTTTGGAGTTAATGTTTCTAGGGTTAACCAGAGCCACCAGCCATTGCAGCAAGGAAGGGACAATTATGATGGCCTAAGGCGCCTGATAATTCCCCCTTTCCTCAGCAATCTTGGGGCAGCTCTGTCGAGTGCCTGATCAGTCTCTGGAACACAGAAATAACTGGGAGCTGGACAGGATTGTCCCAACAAGTCTCTCCTCAATTGCCAATCATTGGTTGTCCAATGGAAATGGAACAAAATGAAGATATGCCTGGAACCCAATGTGATTGAATAAGAGCTCAATTTCAGCTCATTCTGGGGCAATAAAAGTTGGTGAAGTGGAATTACTTCTCCGTGCTTAGTGCATCTGTGAAATGTCTGCTGCTACACTATTTAGAGTGACCCAGATTCTATTAAGGGAGGACGAGGCCAGAGGAACCAATTAGTATAAATTGTGATTATCTGACTGAGCATTTCATGTATAAAATCTCTTGCGTTTACTTCGAACTGGGAGTGAGGTTGATAGAAGCTTTTGAAATGAGTGAGAGGGGGATGCTTTCTGACATTACCTGGGAGATTTTTGGATTTGTGGAACTTGAGGAAATGGAGATCTCTACAATCTAAGCTTTGCTACTTACGAATTGAATTCTGCTGTACCTGGTTGGTAAAAGTAGCCAGCCAGGAGATAGAGATGGACTCAGTCAAGGCTTCTATAAAGAAAGGCCCAAGAGACACTTCCCATGTCTCAGGAGTAAATGTGAACTGGTTATGAAGCACCCAAAATGAGATCATGGCTGTGTATGTGGCCATTGGAACTTCAAAAACAGGTTGCAAGTACCTTTTTGATGGTCTGTTATAACTTCTAACAGGTGCAAAACAACTGCTCATTAAGTGAGGACTACTTGTAGTGAAGCTGGAATTACATAGTGTTTAGATCTATAGCATCCTAGATTATCCCAGGTCTGGGCATAGTTTAGAAACTGCTTTGCCCACTCTCTATGGAGGGACTTGAACAGAAAGACTGCAGCTGTATTTGGTTTTTTATTTTTTATTTTTTTCCTTCAAGTTTTTTATTTTATAACATATAAAAATTCCATTTTTAATTAAATAGTGTGTTGTCTGGGTGCAAATAATTTTAGGAAATAATAATCACAATGTTTGCAAACCATATTATTATCAATAATAATAATAATAATAATAATAATAATAATAATAATAATAATAATAATAATAATAATAATGTTTACTTAACCATTTTAACATACTTTCCTTATATCATTGATCCTTTCCATATATATTTCCCTATTTCTAGCTCCTGTTTCTGTCAGCTAACCATCCAGTTTCTTTCTTTTCCTTAATTGTAAGTGTTAACCTGTTCATTTCTGCACATTCTAGTATTTTTTAAATCACATTTTCATCTGTTGGGATAGCTTCACTTTTCCATTGTTGTACAAATATAATTCTATCTGCGATCAGTACATGTAAAATCAAATATGCATTCCCTTTATTATACTTATCCAGTAAAATGCCCAACAAAAATATTTCTGGTTTCAAATATTTCAAGTGTTTGCTTTTTTAGACCTCTCAAGACCTTTTGGTACTATCAATAACAATATCCTGCTAGCTGCCTATGACATTGAGAGTTGGGGAAACCATGTTATAGTGGTAGAGTAAGCAGAATCAATTGGTAATTGACAGGTGTGGGAGAGATGAGGTCTTTATAAAGGTTATGTTCTGGAATGCCCCAGGATTTGGTTCTTTCCCCTGTCATGTTTAACCTTTACAGAAAACTGCTGGGAGAGGCCATCCACTGCGTTGGGATGAGGCATCACCAATATGCTGGTGATATCCAGTGGCAAGTCTCCACACCAGACCCAATGTGAGATTTGGTGGAACTTCTGATCCAGAGCTTGGAAATTGTCAAGGTTTGGATAGAGAGAAACAGGCTGAAGGCTCAATCTAAACAAGTCAGAGTGGCTGTAAATTCAGAAGTTTACTGACTCCAATACTCCCCCCCCTCCGCAAAAAAAGGTCAGGCTTACTGTTGGAGGATCCTACTGCCGCAGCCCATGTAATGGCTAGCCACTCATGGTACAAAAATCACAGTCTGCAGGAATTGCAATAGTTGTTAGTGTTGTCCAGCAAGTACAACACTGTTGGCCATTCTCTTTAAAGCCCAAATATCTTATCCACTATCTTTAAAGCCCTTTGTAGTTTGGGACTACTAGGAATCTAAGAGGCTCCCTTCCCCAGATAGAGCTTGCATTGCCAATCCAAATAGTCAGCAGGTGTTTACTAAGGACCCAAATCTTCCAATAGGTGAGGCGAGGGAGGATCCAATGACGAGCTATCTCCTTGGGGACTCCCCTCCTTTTAACAGCCTGTCTCCCAAATAAAAAATAGCATTCCCCTCTCTTAGCCATCTGGAAGACAGCAAAGACTTGGCTTATCTGGAAGGCTTTCAGGGGCTGGTGAGCACCTGCCACTTTGATCCATTGTACTCAATTAAATAATTCATTAACTCATTCAATGTTAATGCAACATTGATGATTGTTATTTTGATATATTGTTATCCATAAAATAATAGTCTACTAGGATTCAGGCAGTGCATAACTCGCACAAAGAGAAAATTCAAATAGGGAGAAGGAAAAGAACAGATCCCGAGAACATTGTTAGCACCCTTTAAGGTCTCATGGTTTGGAGGAGGAAAAATGGGATAGGGAACTTTGCCAACAAAACTCAGTAGCCCCCCCCCTCCCCTGCCATTTTTTGAACAAATGGTCTAATCCAGAGGTTCTGACCATTCTGGAGAACCAGTAGTGGAAATTTTGAGTGGTTTGGAGAACCAGTAAATACCACCTCTGACTGACCCTGCCCCCTTCTCAGCCTCCTGAGTCCCAGCTGATCAGGAGGGAATGGGGATTTTGCAGTATCCTTCCCCTGCCATGCCCACCAAGCCAAACCCACAGAAATTTTTTTAGTAACATTTTTTGAATCCCACCCCTGGTCTAATCCATTTGTATATTGAAGATGCTTGAATTCTGCTAGCACAGATCAGAGAGATACTCCCAGCTGTTCCCTGAATTCTCTGAAAACAGTGAACAGTGAAGACAGACTTGCAAACACCAGCATTATACGCTCTTTCAAATAGTGATCCCCAAAGAAATCTGACCAGAACATTCTGAACCAGATTTTGTTTCAAAATCTTTTTTTCCCACTGCCCAATCCTCCAAATGGCTAGGGCTGGTATAAACACCGAAATGACTTGATGGGCCACACCTTGGTCCTTTTCTCAAGCATATTGTTGGGGTCAGTAATGATGATATGAAAGCAACTGGCATTATTGATTGGCAAGGCCTTTCCTAGAAATGACAAGAGGGGATACACAGCACCGTTCCATGCACCTTTCAGGTGTGTTGTCCCTAGAAGTTACAAGATCTTTATTTGCAGAACAAAAATGCCAGAGAATCTCCCTGCAGCCGCCACTAGATGGTACCCAACTCACAAATTCCGGCTGAACGCTCTTTCCCATCCTGGTTTGGAGCAGCGCATCCTTCACAGATGGAGACAGTGCAGCCTCTTTGCAAGACTAAAACTGCCTGCTTTGGATGGCCAGGATGAGACAAGGTAGCTGCCTGTCAGGCAGGGATGGAGCCAGTCCTTTTCATGACAGCTTTAGCTCTGGCTGGGAGTCACCACTCAAATAGACAACAATCCTAGGGAATGGCAGCTTTCTGGAAGTGCTGAAGGCAGCTTGGAGAAGGGAAGGAGGCAAGGCTTTGCTGGAGGATTTTTGGTTCAGGTGAAAGCAGAGAGAGTCTGGATGTGATGAGAGATCCCATGAACAGAAGGGGGTCTAGATCTAAGGGTTGCTCACCTGGGCATTGGATTTAATACTTGGAGGGAAGGGAAGATGTTGTGCTTCTTGTTACAGCCTGTTTCCAAAATGTGACTGGAACCCTGGAGGAGACACCCCATCATCCAGCCTCCACTCTTGTGCATGCAGATCTATGTCTTTGGAAGCAACCACTCGTTAAGAGGCAAGCAGTCAAGAAGGCAGAGCTCCTAGCAGGGAAACTGATCCTGATCCTGTTCCCTTTGTGCTTATGGACTTCTTGGGTTGATTTTTGCTGGACAACCTTCACCTGTCTCTCACCATGAGCTGTTCCTAAGAACTGGGATCGGATTTCCTGAACGTCTGCTTTCCTTCCTTTTGGTTTGCTTTTTTTCCTAAAAGAAAAGTTTGAATCATGATCACAGTGAATTCAGATGGGAAAATAATGGTCAGAAGATGTCTCGTCACCTTGAGGCCTTTTAGGTAAAGTTCTCCTCTACCACTTCCTGGGTGTGTGCAATTAGAAGGAAAAGGGTGGGTGGGTGGCGGCTTCAGAACTGCATGTGGTCACCCCTCTTTTTTCCTGATGTGATAAACCCTACAAGATGAATGCAGGTAGCAGAAAGTAATTTGTTTGAGACTCACCTGAAGTGTGGACAGACAGAGGAAGTGGGTGGCATAGCGCAGTTCGTTTGGAATTTGGGAAGGATTCACCAAGGGGAGGGCAAGATGTTGTTATTAAACTTCCTTGTTATATAGATTGTTACAAACTAACAGCTAGCATTATTGTAGATACAAACATACCACCTTTCCTCTTTTCTTCCTGTCTCTAAGTGATTGCTGATTCTTGTTTCTCCTCTTTTACTGGGATAATAAGGATAGGTTATTTGGATCAGGTCTTTCACGTCAGTCTGCTTCAAAAGAACGCTGCTTGTCTTCTTTAGAGGCTTTTGTCAGGTCCTTCCTCTGCTGCTCTCCCTCTCCTTTCTCCTAAAATTAGTTCACAGGATTTGGAGCTTATTTTCTGGCTGCTTTCAAATGGCACCTTTTTTTTTATTGCACCAAATACAGGATGAGAAATTAAATAGATGGCAGCAAGCATGAGTGAGAACCCCAAACAATGATCATCTGATGCACTGAGTTAGCATTTTCCAACCAGTTTCAGATTTTCTTTGTCCTAGGTAATGTATTTATTAATGTATGTAGCTTCCCCCTCACCATAGAGACTCTGGAAAAATTAAAACCGGAAACAAAATACAGTGTAAACAAAATAAACTTACAATATACTACATACCTGCGGTAAAAAAAGAGGACACCACTTCAGTCACTAAGTCCACAACTAACAACCAGCCAATAGGGCTAACTTAAAAATGTTTAAGTTATAGTCTTCAGGGGTTTGGACACAAATGTGCCACAGTGCTGTTTTTATTTGTCTCATGTAGCAGAAGGCTGCTCCACTTTAAGGGGTTGTTGGTGAACTTTCAGAATGAGCAACAAGGTCAATTAAAGAAGAGGCTCAAATGAAGCTGGAATCTAGGCATGCAATGTATCCCATGGTATTACAAAAGAGGCCATAGATTGGAACAGGGTGGGTAATTGTAACTTAATTCATTTCACAGGTGGAAGACCTGTCTGTATGTGAATGCTGACAATGGCGGGGTTGGCAATATTCTAAAAATAATAATAGTCAGAAGAGCCTAGTTGGCCTTGGGTGTAGTGCTTAATCTAGACACAGGAATGTACAGCTCTTCCAGAAATTTGTGGACTATAATTCCCATCAACCCAAGTCTGTGTAATCCTTTGTGCAGCACATTGAAAGCTGAAATTCAATAACTCCTGGGAAGCCACAGGTTTCCTAGACTTTACCTAATGAGAAAACTATCAGTAATCTTTTTTAAAAAGTGTGTGTGTGTGTGTGTGTGTGTGTGTGTCAACAATTGTTCCAGCTGCCCATTGGCTACCCATCTCATGACAAATAGTCCCGAGGAGTAAGAAATAGCGGTAGGACAATTCTCTACTGCAGCTTGTCTCCCAAGCTGTTCCTGGCTGTTTAAAGAACTTCAGAAATTCTATTCTGGATTGTAGTGAGTTGACAGTGGGTCCCATCTGGTGCTTAGACCAGACTGTGGCCAATGTAAGACCCAATTTGTCATCACTTTGCTTCCTCTCCTTCCCAGTCCATGAAGGGAAACCTTGTTGGCTGGATTCTGTGTGGATGAGTCTCCCAGTGCTTGCCTTTTCCTTGTAATCATTATTCTATCCAAATTAATCCCCGAGGCTTTCCTCTACTCCCCCCCCCCGTGTTTGCATAAAGGATGGGATACTTTCACCTGTGCCACCCTTATTACTTTCTTTGACATTAAAACCACCTTTCCCCCCTCCCACTTATGGTAGCATCCAAGCTCTGATTCTACAATAAATAAAACAATAGGGAACAGGTTGCTGCCGATCCATAGAAACTTTATAGCAATGAAGAACTATGAGTTCAGCTTCATAGAACAGAAGTGTTCTTACGTTTCAACTTAAAGATGTTTTTTTAGAAAAGGGAAATGGAAGCTCTATAGGAATGGAAACAGAGATTGAGAAAGCAAAGAGTTTGTGCTCCACCCAACCTGGACAGAAATCAAAAAGTGTGCCTACTGGACTATGCATAGTTGAATGGAGCAGGAACTTCTAGAGGGGAAGATTGTTCTTGATTTAACAGCTTAATTGTTGTGTTACTCAATATTGCAAAAAAGAACAGAAAAACCCAACAGCTTGACGGGATGAAGTGATAGAGCCCACATTCTGCAGAGGAGGGAGAAGGCTGGGCACTGCAGCCAATCAGAGCTGGGCTTTAATTAAAATGGAATGAAGCTCTGGAGATCCTCTGCTCTGAAGGGCATAAGGTCAAAAAAAAACCCATCAGTTTTGAATGAAAGCAGGAAAGTTCAGTTGTGGGATGGATTTGCAATGGGCTGGGAATGGGAGAAGAATGACATCATCCCTTCCGGCACTCAGGAAGCAGTGAGAAGCCAGCACTGGTGAAAGGCCAAGTAGAACCTGAGGATGAGTCCATAGATTATAAGGGCACACCCAGTGCCTGAAACAGGAGACCACTGATTAAAAAAAACTAAGGTTCTCAGCAGATTTTTTTTTACCTATGTTGTCTTGAAAGGAACCCCAACAAGCTCTTGCTTTTAAGAGCTAAAACTAGGTGTGATCCTTGTTTAGGATTTCTGCTTCATAAAACCAAATAGTATTTGACTGCTCATGTATTAAAGATTGGAGACTGGAGTCTTTAGAGTGTTTGCTGTTCACTTGATCATTTCCCCAAAGATAAAGCTACTTCAAGGGAGAAAAAAAATGTACAAGTCTTTTTGGTTGTGGCACCCTGGAGTGCTCTTCCCAAAGATATTTGCTTGCCAGTGGTGTAAATACTTTGGCTCCAGGTGTTTGTTCAGCTATTTCGTTAGGTAAGTTGGATGTATTTGATAATAATTTTATCTGTTTTTCTGAGTTTCCACCATCATCTTAATTGCTGCATTATTCTTGTAGGGTTTTTGCATATTCATTGTTTTTCTTATTTCATTGTCTGCTGCTCTAGGAGTTTTTATTGGAAAAACAGCATATAAATCTTCAAAATGCTTACTTGGAGGGGATGTACCAGTAATAATACCAGAATACAATTAAAATATCATTAAATATCACTATATTACGTTGTACTTGCAATGAGATAGTGTAGAAATATATCAAGCAGATAGATCCAGGGCAATCTACTGATCTGGGAAAAAAAGCCTCCTTCTCTCTCACCACACACACATTCACACGAATAATTCTTTCTTGTAGAAAAATTACAATTGGTTCTTGTGCCTGCAGTACAGAGAGTAAGAATTTCCATGTGAGATGTTCTTGTAAACTTTCTTTGAAATTAGCTATTACAAGATTTCCCCAATTTGTTGCTGTACAGATGTGCTGGATGCTTTGGGGCTGATAACAAATGTGATCAGAAGGCAGCAGATTCTGGGGAAAAAACTGATATACACCATGATAAATGTTTAGGGCAGCTGTCCTCTTGACAGAAAGACATAATGCAAAGCTGACTTCAATGGAAACATGAAGTTTCCAAGTGGACACACTGTTTAGAGAGATACGGCTCAGATTCTTATACATCCAAAATGTAGACTGAGAAGTGCTTGAAAATACAGGTATGATGCTTATTGGTGGACTATAGCCAGAAGCAGCAGCTTCTTCTGTGTACATTTGGTGACAAAGCCAGATTTGTGTTATGTAGAACAATTCCAACATGATGTCTTCTTAAGCATGAACAATGTGAATGCAGAGAGGGCTAACATCATCCAAGGATGTTGTCAGGGAACTGTAATTGGCTCTGCTTCCCTGTCAAATAAATTTTCCTGGATTCACTTCAATGATGCACCTTCCTCCCCATCACTCTAACAGAAAATGCCAGCCCTGACTTTGCTATGGTTGCAAAATAAAGCCACCGACATAAATGCAAAATGAGTCCTAACGTGGAATGCACAGCAAGGCTAGGAATGGGGTTGAAGGAGGCCTTCTCTTGGTAGCAGGTCACCAGCTGTGCTGGTTGTGTCAGGAAGGATCTGCAGCCATCAGTGGGAGCTGTCACTTTTTCTCCTGTTGAATGACACCCAGCTTAACAGCACTGTAGAACTTGACTTAGCAGGTCGAGCTAAAAGATAGCAAGTGGAAAGATGTCAGGGCCAGACTCATTTAGTGGGCCAGTTTTAGGCCCTTGAAAAAGTTAACATTGTGAGCCAATTTTTGCATCGCTTGGTTTTCTGGCGCTTTGAAATCTATACTTATGCATGAAGGTGAATGCATTAATGTAGGAATACTTGGATGGAAGTCAGAATACAAACTGAAGAAGTTCATTTTATCCCTATCATTTTGATATAGTAAGAACCTAACACTCTTATTAGGAACCCATGAAACAGTGGTGAAATCTAATATTTTTGCCCACTGGTTCTGTGGGCATGGCTTGGGGGGATGTCATGTGACTGGGTGGGCATGGCCATTTTCCACTTTTTCCCCCCTCTGTCAGTTCAGGTGAATTGGCACGACAAAAATGCTTTAAAAAGTGAAATAAAGACGATCCGACAATCATGCAACCCAGCTATGAGCTGCGCGATCATCAAAAGCCCTTTTCCCCCCACTTTTTGAAGAATTTTTT